CCGGGATCCTTGAACAGATCGTTACAATTAACTCTCTTTTGGGGTTTTCAATATTTTTATGACACAAAAAACATGTAATGTAATTAGTAATTGATGAAGCATTTAAACATAATAATAGAAAACTAAAAGGAAAATAGGAAAGGAAAAAAATACTCCTTCCCATTCTATTTATTATAGAAAAAATTTCTAAAATATGTTTACTTGTGGGGACTAATACCAAAGCAAAAAGTCGGAATATGCCTTAGTTTTTGCTATAGACTTAAATATTCGACTTTGGAGAAGGTATTTCAAAAAAGTTGGCAACATTATTGTTGTGTTGACATTTAATTGTTTCAAATTGACCTAAACATGCCAATTAAGGAAAATGTTGAGAGTTCAACAGTCTATTATTTGTGCACAAATTAAATTTCACCAAAGCTTATGGCTTAACTTTTAAGTGTGCATATTCATGAATTTACTCATAACTATAATAAAATCCTGCATGGAGGAAAAAATTTTCCATCTCAAATTGACTGTACTGAAATAAAATAAAGTTATACCATTTTATTGATTTACTCTGTATGAACTCCTTAAATGGCTAAAGAGAAAGAGATACAAACTTAAAACCCAATTCATTGCTTTAAAAAAACTGTGTGCGCATTTTTCTGCATCATGTCAAATTCTTATAAATTGTTGTAAGCAGATATGGAGTACACCGTCTTGCAACTTTATGAATTACTGCGAGCATCTGATTTCATCCCTTTCTGATTTCAGAATATAGTAAAACATACAAACTTGTACTTTTGACCATCTTCAGTGGATGTTTTTCCTTTTAATTGCTCTTTCGATGGGCTTCTTTTGGAACGTTAATTGGTGGTAGTGGTAGATTTCAGATTCTACAGAGGCGGTTGTTCAGTTTATTGTAAGGGAGATCATCTAAGTGTGATTGTTTGGTATGGGCACATTCTTCTAAATTACAAGCAAGTTTTGAGAGACTGTTATTTTCAAATCAAAAGGAAAAGGAATGGTGTTCATTGACGTTTGTTGAATTAAATTTTAGAGTTGCTGAACTCATATCTGTTTCAGATAAATTCAGCTTGAAAAATTTGGCCTCAAAATTTCTTTTTATATTTGCGGTTAAATTTTAGAGAAGCAAAATAAAGAACTTTGAGTTGAAAAATTTTAGCTACAAACTTTCTTCAACTTTCACGTTCAATTTTTTTTAATCAAAATTTTGATACTTTAAAATTTTAGTTGCGCAATTGCAATTAAAACAGCCCACGTTTTTTTTGTTATTGAAAGTCTAAAAAAATAAAAATATCTTAATTAAAGCCAACAGATCGTTTTTCTCATAATTTATTCACACTTTTATTTGAAACTGATGATCCTTTAATATCTTTTTTTCAGGGATAAATTTTAGGAAGAAATCTATTAAAGACCACGTCCTTAATCCATAAGATAATTTTTGGACTTTTCTTCTATATAAATAGAATGGAAGCGAGAATTAATCAATACTCAATAGAAAAAAGTTTTTCTGTTTGTTGAATATTTTTAAAAAATTAGCAAGAAGCTTAAAATAAATTTATTTTTTATAAAATTAAAATTTGAATAAAATTTTTATTTGACACATTATAATTGTTTTTAGTAACTTTTAGTTAAAAATTAAAAGATAGATACCCCACCGATGAACATAAATAAAAGTTTCATTCATCGTTTAGACTAGGGTTAGAGTATTTTATTCAATAGAGTAAATTCCCAATAAATCCATACATCATGATGGTATTGACTAAAAATTGGAAACTTTCATATCAATACATAAATTTATTCATTAAAGCAATACAGTACACATAAAACAACTTTAAAGAAGATGAAGTAATGTAATATAAATTAGGAGAATTCGATCTCAAAATACCATTTGGTGTGATCCTTTGTTCCCCTTAAAATCCAATATTTGACAATTCATCTTAGGCAGTCACGTTTGTATCGGGGGCATGCTTTTCGAGTACCAGGATTTGATACAGGAAGGCAGTAGCGGTTCCCCGGACGGCAATCAAGAGCAGGACGGTTAGGATTTCCCACGCCGCCAGTTGCGCTATTGGTGCTAGCTGTAAGCATTCTGTTAGTCTCGGAGTCCATCATCAACTCTAATTCCATGTTGGTATCTGCCATGGAAAAGGAAAAGGAGTTGTTGCTAATCATTTCCTGCGGAGTACTAACAGCTCCCAGACAACTGCTTCTGCTCATCAGAATCAAAATCACCACCACCGCTAGAGAAAGACTCCTCATTCTGCCTTTTTTTTTAGTACTATTTTCTAGTGTCGGTGGTACTATTTTCTAGTGTCGGTGTTTATTTCATATGAAAATACAGCTGGGAAGAGAGCTCTAAATAGTAAAGTGGTGGTTTTTTGACATTGACTTATTGGCTGCATTCGAAATTGCTCCACTTAAGAAATTGATTTGGACCAAGAGATAATGGATAATGAGTCCACCATATCCTTATCTTTAAGATTTTATTTAATGTATTTATGAGTGTATTATAACTAGTGTAATTGATTGGTGAATAGAGTGAGTGATTGATCCCTTCATGACTCTATTTCACCCATTTTCATAACTTAGCAATAATAATTATTTGTGAGTGGTTGCCTATATCACGACAATCATAGAGGTTGGTTGCCTATATCACGACAATCAATAGAGGTAAAATATCAACAATTTCCTAAAACTATTATAACAACTAGTTAATAAGTACCGCGCCCCTGCTGTCGAGCGAAATATTTTATTTTTTTTGTTTATTATTTGAAAAAATATTAATATTTATTTGAAGAAAATAAAATATTAATTAAATGTACTTATTTTATTTTAATAATTTGAGAAATCATATTAGAATGATAATTATTAATTTCATTATTTATTATTCAAAAAGCACTTAAACATTTTTATTATTTAAAAGAATATTAATGATATTAAATTAAATTTTCTTAAAAACAATTGAGACAATATCATTAAAAATGGTAGAATCCATATTCATTCGAAACTTCCAAAATAAACGCTTAAAAGAAATTAAATTAAAACATTAAAAAAATAAAAAATAAAAAATAAATGAAAAGGAAAAATAGAATATAAATAGAAACTAATTTCCTATAGTTTCCCGCTCTGGTACTTCACACTATCAATAAATGCTAACTGAGATATACAGTTGAGCTGTTTGAAGATGGGATAGTGCATCACAGCTTATATCAGCTTCCTAAAATGCACATAAAAGCTTTATCAATCTTCACTGCTCCGACTTCACACAAGAAGGAAAAACTTCGTTAATCTTTCATTTTTGGTGGCAGCTTATTTTGGATCATTGCATTACAATTCTCAGAAAGTGCCACTATTTCCAATTCTTTTATTTTCCATTTCTTCGTCAAAATTTCTTTCAAAAATTTAGCTATGTCGACATCTGAGCTGAGGCGGTGCCAAAGCCAGTGAAGTGGGGTCAATTGACCCACTCAACTTTTAAAAACAATTTATAAATAGGACTTAATTGATAAAAAAAATGAAAAGTATATATTAAGTGAAAAATTGTAGAGCTTTTAATCTAATTGACCCCACTACAAATGAAATTAAATAAATGGCCCAACTGAAAATCATTTCTAGCTCCGCCACTGCATCTGGGTCATGATGTATTAAAATGGAATGTTAACATATAATTATTTTAGCATCTCCAAAAATTTCTCAAATTGCCTATTTTGGTTCGTTTATCAGAGTCACTATGGAATTTTAGCATCTCCAAAAATTTCTCAAATTGCCTATTTTGGTTCGTTTATCAGAGTCACTATGGAATGAAATAACTTCCTCTTAAAGCCTTTTATTCTCCTTTGAATATTCTCTTCTTGTCTTTTCTTTCTTACTTCATCGTCTTCAGCTGTTTCATGGTACTTTCTAATTGCCACCCAAATACTCACAATTTTTTTCACTTAAATGGGTTGATAGTCACAAGTATATAAGGTTATTGCAATACCGGATAAATCTCTTGTTTTGTATTTGAAAAAAATGGCATCGAATGTTACTTTTGTTTTCTACATGCTTTTTTGGAAGTTTGTGTACCGCAAAGCCTATAGTTAGTGCATGGAGATTTTCTCACACATAGGTAGTAAAGAGTAGCTAGAGCCTCAGAAGAGGATCGTGATCTACATCGATATTAGAGTTACTTTTCTTTTTGGGTAGAAGATCTTATTTCTTATAATAGAGTAGGACAAACTTATATTTGGAATGTACAAATGTTTATTACATATATAAGAGATTTATAAAGAAAAATTTTGTATGAGCTTACATATTGGAAAAATTTATAAAGAAAAATTTTGTATGAGCTTACATATTGGAAAAACCTTTAATAGATTATATATGGACGATTTTTTGAAAGTGATTTGTGAAGTTTAAGCTGATCGATTGAATGTAGTTATGTGGAGTTAAAAGTGGGAAGTTTTAGAAGTGTTTTATTAACAAGTTAAAAATCTCGAGGATGTTAGGATTTTAAAGAAAACTCTTGCATTTTTTCCGTTAAAATATAAGTTAAGAAATATAAAAATATACATGTTTTAGGATAATAATGGTTAAGTTTGAGATATGAGTTATTGATTATAGATTTAGTGCTCTTAGCACAATACGTGGCATCTCTTATTTGGACTATTTATCGACCCGATGGTTTATCTATAATCCGAATAAAAGTGTTACACGAGAAGTATGAGTTGATTATTTGAAAATAGTTATATGAGTTGATTATTTGAAAATAGTTATTTGAGGTTTAAGATTTGATATTATGTTAGCATTTTCTAAGCAAGTTTATAAATTAGAAATGTTAAGATTATAGGGGAAATTCTTATAGGTTTTTTGTAGAAATTTTATATACGGTTATTGCATGTTAGTAATGTTACTTTGTAAGTCAGAATCATATAATAGGAAGTTACAAAATTAGTATATTTGGCATAGCATGCGGTGATTTATCAAATGCAATCATGTTAGTAATGACAGAGAAGTGGCTGTGGTAGCAGATCGGAGATGTTAAGAAATGAGTAAATACTGCATGACAGAGAGTCCTGTGGTTTCTATGCCAACCACAAAGCGTTTGACCAATATACGTCACGTCGTTGTTTCGTTAACCTGAGAATTACAGTTACGAATAAAAGATCATGCATCGAATATCACCATCCATAGCGAGACATAATTGCCACATGAGCATTGCAACGGCAGAGAGAATGAATACCACCACCCACAATGAGAATCAATGCCAGCAATTCTGGAACAAGTGAGAATCAATGCCCAGCCAATTCTGGATCTTACCTTCTTACCTTCTCAGAACATCATCTCCCTCTTTGTCCAAACTTCCCCTGCCACTCGCTATCTTCATATCATAACGATCTTTCCAAAACCAGTGGCTATCCCAACCATTCACGACAACAAGGCCGTCTTTTCTTGTCGCTATTTCATTTTGATTTACTCTTGATCATTTATCTACAATCTCTCGATCATATTAATTTGCTTTCCTTTAAATGCTCATATATTTATCTTCGTCAGTGGACAGAGCTCACTGCTGTAACAAATAGCAGGACAACCCTTGGCTTTTATCTCCATCAAGTCATCCCTTCACTGCACAAGGTCATTGTTGCTTTCTTTCTCTACTACTCTTTTCTCACTGGTTAGGTTAAACAACTGATTTAATTATTGCTGCTCTTACATGGCTGCCAGGTGTGTGATTCAATTGATTTGATGATGACTTTTTATGTGGTCAGCTTGAAACTGACGCAATAGTTGTAGCGATTGATTATAAAGGCTGAGGTCAATGCCATCAACATTTCTACCCACACGTGCCTGCAGAATCATCTGAAACAAAACACAATACCAGTGTATGTTAACAACAAATTGAAATGAGAGGAATGGGTGGGGAGACAAGGAAGAGAGGGAGAGTCAAAGTGACCAGTGCAGCAAACCCATGAATGAATTATTTCAGTCTTACCTCATTATCAGATTGAATATGCAGTGACCAGTGCAGCAAACCCATGAATGAATTATTTCAGTCTTACCTCATTATCAGATTGAATATGCAGTTCACCGATGAACTGGTAGATGGAACCAATTCGGAAGCTAAGGTTTCTCAAGTGTTGGGTGTCAATCTTCAGAATAGCATTTCCATCAACAATTATAGCTATGGCAGTTTCCACAGAATATTCTTGTAACCTGCAGGAGAAACAAAAGATTTTCTAACATGTTGCAACATAAGATAATGAACTAACAATATAAAAGCATAAATTACACATGGTTGAACTGCTAGACTCTCCTAATAGGACAAACATCCCATAGATGAAACTCACAATGAATGGAAGTCGCCATTTGTTTCAAATAATTTAATCTGTCTCAGCATTTAAAATCAAAATAATTGCAAGAGTTTATCCAATGGGTGCTCATAAACTCAGCCACATTTAAATGAAAGAGGTTAATAATTTTTCAGACCATAAAATCTGTTGAGAGGTAATATCAAATGTGACCCCAATATTGAAATTTCCTAAGCTTTCTAGGCACATGGTAATAAAACAAGTGCTTATATTACTAATCATTTATCAGCCATCATTAGATTTCTCTAACCTAATACTAATATTTCTGGCATGTAGTCGGTTCCTAAGTCATGTGAAGGAAGACAAGGATTTTTTGATGTAGGTGCTGATTTGATGTGTAATGTTCCTTGGACAAACAACTTCAATACCTCAGAATATGTGTTAGGCATACCCTTCAAATCGGACAAACAACTTCAATACCTCAGAATATGGGTTAGGCATACCCTTCAAATCAATTCTGTCCAACACTCTGCTGCAACGACCGATGCCATCGCTTATTCCCCTTGCTGCGACATTGCTCCCTTTTCCCATAGAATTACTACCACCTATACCATGCCACCATATCCCATAAGATCACGACTGCAATTTGGCTCTTCCAATTATAAATTTATTATCATAATCTAAACCTATATAGCAAGTGCATTTGCCCCCATGTCTCATCTTTATGACCATGTCCTATACCTCATCTGAACCTTGAGACTACCACCAACAAATAACTTTTAGACTTTAGTTATCACCATATCACCTCAAAAAGCCCTTCCTTCAGGTTCCTCTCCAAACATATCCAACAAAAATAAAACCACATTATTATCAATATCATTACCCAACACACAAACTTCCATCATTATTTTAAACCACCATTTTCATTTCAATCTCACATGTTTTCTCTCCAACAAACAAAACCACCAATACAGATTCTCAAATTAATTACACTTTCTTCCAACAAGGGAAAACTGTCCAACTTCTATGTTAGACTAGATCTACTACAAGCATTACAAAAATCCTACAAGAACACAAATATCAAAAATCACAGTACAATGCAATTGGGGAAGGAATGTAACAAAGTGGGTATATAATAGTTAAATAATAATAATAATAGTAATAATAATAATAATAATAATAAACTGATACGAACATTAGAAGGGCTTAAGACCTTACTTTCCAGTGATTCTAAGTGATGCTCCTTGCTTAAAGAAAGGTGATGATGGTTGCAAATCTTTCAACATCACCAATTCCCCATGTTTAATTGCAGGAAGTGCCATTAAACCAACACTACTACACCCCAAAGGCACTGAATTCCCTACCTGCAAAGCTTACAGGAATACAATGAACAAAAGAAACTACAAAATTGAACCAACAATCTCAAAACTACGAGTTTATACATTGTAGAAAGACGAAAAAAACTTCATCATTTACTTCAGGAGACAACAATGGTAAGGAAACCTCGCAACAAACCTCAAATTAATACCATTTCGAAAAGCATACGTCAGCAAAATTTAACGCGACAAAACGCGACAGGAAATCGGACGATAAAGCACTACTGCAATACATTAAGCATCAAATTACATAAATCGACATAAAACTAAATTATGGCCTGTCCCACTCCTTAAGAATCCATCAATGCAAATATAGTATCCATATCAAATATAGTTGAAACAACAAACCCTAAGGAATTGGCAAACATTTAAATCAAATAATTCGACATCAACAAGTGAGTAAAATAATCAACTGAAATAGACACAATAACACTGAAAAGAAAGTTGTTAATTTGCAATTGAAGTTTACCCATATATCAAAAGCAATTCTAAGCATTCGTTCAACTGAGAACGAAAGGAAGAGGGAGGAAGCAAAACGGAAAAAAAAAAAAAAAATGAGAATGAAATCAAAAAAAAATCAAGAACGAACCTGTGGCTGAAAAGCACTTGTACGCTTGAAGAGCACGAGCTGGCCTGCGGAGGTCGATGGCCAGGAACGAAAGCAACGGAAGGTATCTGGCAGTATAAGTTGCATGAAACGAGAGCGGCGCAGGGAAGGGAGGGAGGAGAAAATACGTTCGGCTTGAGTTATGAGTTTTGAGAGAACTTTCCCTTTGTATGAGTAAATTTCGCAACCCTAGGGCTTAAAAAACGACGTGAATTTTTGGTTCTGGGATTCTATTTACACCTCCTACATGCAAAAGATTACGGACGATCGATATTCGTCGTTTTTGATGGTAAAATAATCATTTTTATTAATTATTATTATTATATTATTAAGTTATTATTATATCTTAAAGTTACTAGTGTTTCAAGAACGTGTGATACACGTTTTTACTCATTGAACAATACCCGTAAAATGATTATTTATAATTTAATTTTTTTTATATATTTTTATTAATTTTTTTATAAGACCACATATAAAAAATTCAATATTTGTGTTTAGTTGTTACAATTATTATATGTATAAAAATATATATGCAAACCACTATCATACATAGTTATAATTATTTGATGAAAAATTTTAATAATTGTTTATAATAGATTTTTTGACAAAATGGAATAGTAACAAAGTTGAAAATAAATAACCATTTGATCCAAGATTTTGTCATACATAAAAATAAATACATATATAAATTATTAGTAATCAAATTTAAAATTTTTTTTGCGATAGCATACCAAAAAAAAAAAATAAAAAGTTAAAATTAGGACCTTAGCCATTAATAACAATACAGTCAGAAGCTTTCAATATAGCAATAGCAAAGAAACTTATAATAGTAGAGAGTCTTTAATGAATTATTGATAATAAAAGTAAAAAATCTTTAATAGTAGCCAAAGAAAATATAGTTATTTGATAAATTAAATTTTCAATTGAGTTATAATTTAAACCTTTATCCTTTATTATCATAATAATAGATGTAATATTAAATCAAAGTATAATAAATTTTTAAATTAAAAATATGGAACAACTTAAAAAAAAAATGTCTAAATTAAAAAAATGGAAAATTAAAAAAAAAAAAAGAAGTGTTAAATATTAAAAAAATTACAGATCAATGTTTAATCAATTTTTATAAAAAAATTTAATAAATTATCCTAAATTTAAAATTGATAAAAGAAAATTTAGATTACGGAATAAAATAATTTAATAACCATTCAAAGAGAATAATCAAGGCTAAAAGTAGCTAATAATATTAACAAAGGTAAAACAAAAATGAAATACTGAAGAAAAGAAATAATTTCAATTTAAATAATTATAAATATAATTTATAAATTTGATTATTTTTAGATTTTTATATAAAATACTTAAGTCATTTTCTAATAAAACTATAAATATTATTGATTTAATATTGGATTCAATCAAAACTTCTATAATAAGATTTTTATTCCTAATTAAGATTGGATAGAAATTTTCAGTTACCTTTTCTAATATATATTTGATTTAATATTAATAAAACATATATATAGAGGAAGTTATAATTATACTTATCGCAAGAATAAAAAATGATTGTAAATTCAATAATTCCAAATTAGCAAAACTTGATAAAATAACTTGATAGTCAAAAGCAATAAATTCATTATAGTCAAGAGTAACAAATTCTTGATGGTCAAAACTCAAAAGCAATAAAAACCAAACGTATACAGTGGTATGATAGGATAAAATCCTAATTAAAATAGTATTAAAGTTCAAATTCCTAATTAGAGTTGGATTAAATTTATAATATTAATATAATAAAAGTAATAAATTGATATCATAATTAGAATAGAATAGTAATATAAGGTAAAATGAGGGATTAAATTTATAATATTAATATAATAAAAGTAATAAATTGATATCATAATTAGAATAGAATTAAAGTTAAATTCCTAATTAGTAGGGATGGCAACAAGTGGGGTTCAAGTCGAGTAGTGCAATACCCATGCCCAAACTCAATCTCATCCTCAATCCTCATACCCTATTGGGTAGGATTGAATGCTATACCCATTCCAAAATCCAATAGGTTTGGATATATCCACAAGTATCCATTATCCGTGGGTGCCCATGCGTATCCATTATCCACAGATACCTATTTATCCACAGATACCCATTTATCTACAAACTCATATTTTGTAAAAATTAAAGTATATTGAATTAAAAAAATTAAAGTGTTTATTTAGATGGTTTATATAATACATAAAAAATGTGAAAATAAATTAATATATACATGAATGTTCTCATAATTGTAAATTAAAATTTTAATTCCAAAGTTGTTCTTCTTGTCATAATACTTCACTCAAATGTAATAGTAGCATACTCTTCAAGTGTAATTATAATAAAAATCAATTAATAGAATAACTAAAAATATCATATAACAAAATTATTAAACGTAAAATATTATTATATGAACACTCTAAATCACCTTTCAAAAAAAAAAAAAAAAAAAAAAAAAAAAAAAAAAACACACTCTAAATCATTATTGTCATTATGATTTTTATCCATTATTTAAAATTGAAGTTTAAATTAAATATTAGAAATTAAATTTTAAATTTCAAAACCTAAAATTTTAAAAATTTGATCAATTCAAATTCATATATGAAAACTAGAGTGAAATTATTTTACACTAGACGACATTAAATCAAAAGTAAAATTATAATTTATATAGATAATTTATTACAAGTAACCCGATTTATTAAAACTTTCATACTATAATTTAAAAAAAAAATATAGTGAAATTATTTTACACTAGACGACATTAAATCAAAAGTAAAATTATAATTTATATAGATAATTTATTACAAGTAACCCAATTTATTAAAACCTTCATACTATAATTTTAAAAAAAATATTAAAATTTTAAATCTCTAGGGTTTGAATTTCGAGTGTAGGATCGGGTTCGGGTTTATAATAGCAATATCCATACCCTACTTGTATCCAAAATAAAACTATTGGATTTTAACTATATCCTATCCAAAACAAGTCAAAACCCTAAAATTCGGGTTTTTGACTTGGTTCGGTTGGGTGCATACCCATCGGGTCGGGTTGATTTTGTCATCCCTATTAATTAGAATGAGATTAAATTTATATTATTAATAAAAAAGATCTACCAATAAGGGATTAATAAATTTAAATATCTTATATTATAATATATTAATATATTTAAATTATAAGATATTAATATCATAGTAATTTTTATATGTATAGAAAATCCAAAAGTATTCCTAATTAGAAAATGACTAAATTTATTTAAATGATCATATTTTAATTAATTCAACTAATAGAATACCAATAAAATTAAGAGTTTATTATAATAAGACTAAATTATTCTTCAATCTACCAAGAAAATTAAAAGTCTACAAGGGAGTTGTAGAAATCCAATGTTCCCCCTCTTTCGCACTTTTATGTATAGATATTTTGGAATTCCTATACATATAAAAAAATTATGATTTATTATATTATAATTGGACCATTGAAATTTCCACGGCTATTTTACTTCCATTGAAATACTTGAAACTAAAAAAAATAAAGAATAAAAGATATTATCTTTATAAATATTAATCTTACAATCCAAATAAAATTTAAAATTTTATTAATAAAATATAAAATAAAAGGAAGGAAGAAAAGAGAAAAGGAAGTGCAAGCGAAAAAGGAAGTGCAAGCATACAAAGGCATGTGACAGAAAAGAGATATTGTTATGTTCAACCGTGGGCAGGACAAATTACTAGGGCCGTGGTCGGTTAAGGCCCCTAGGCCGGCCTCCTAGGCCCGTAGTAAGCCTAAATCAGTTAAGCTCAATCTTTTCACTGTTATCGCTTGAGGCCAAAAACCATATTCTTATAATCAAGGCTCGATTTGATTATGCACAAACGTATTGAAAATACAAAATTATATAATTAATACATATATCCACATCATTCAATTACAACTACAATTGCAGAACTCTATAATCTACAATCTTTTACATTTACATGCTTAACACAACCATTAAAATTTTCTTTTATTTGCCTATCAACTCATTAGGATCCGTAGAGTTCTTCTTTCCTTCAGTTACCTAAAAAAATAAAAGGCAGGGGTGAACGCCAAACTCAATGAATAAGGTTAGATAACCCTCTCACTCCATACAGTTACACATATGATAATCATATTATACAATCAGTAGCCCTCCGACTAGTTATAAAAGAACAAGCAAGTATGACACAGAGTCCTGTGGTTTCTACGCCAACCACAAAGCGTTTGACCAATATACGTCCCGTCGTTGTTTCGTTAACCTGAGAGTTACAGTTACGAATAAAAGATCATGCATCGAATATCACCATCCATAGCGAGACATAATTGCCACATGAGCATTGCAATGGCAGAGAGAATGAATACCATCACCAACAATGAGAATCAATGCCAGCAATTCTGGAACTTACCTTCTCAGAACATCATCTCCCTCTTTGTCCAAACTTCCCCTGCCACTCACTATCTTCATATCATAACGATCTTACCAAAACCAGTGGCTATCCCAACCATTCACGACAACAAGGCCGTCTTTTCTTGTCGCTATTTCATTTTGATTTACTCTTGATCATTTATCTACAATCTCTCCATCATATTAATTTGCTTTCCTTTAAATGCTCATATATTTAAAATTAATCTTGCTTTTTCCCTTTAAAATCGCTCATATATTTATATGTTCGTCAGTGGAACAGAGCATCACTGCTGTAGCAACACGAGCAGGACACCCTTGGCTTTTATCTCCATCAAGTCATCCTCTTCAAACTGCACAGGTCTTGTTGCTTTCTTTCTCTATACTACTCTTTTCTCACTGGTTATCTCCATCAAGTCATCTCTTCACTGCACAAGGTCATTGTTGCTTTCTTTCTCTACTACTCTTTTCTCACTGGTTAGGTTAAACAACTGATTTAATTATTGCTGCTCTTACATGGCTGCCAGGTGTGTGATTCAATTGATTTGATGATGACTTTTTATGTGGTCAGCTTGAAACTGACGCAATAGTTGTAGCGATTGATTATAAAGGCTGAGGTCAATGCCATCAACATTTCTACCCACACGTGCCTGCAGAATTATCTGAAACAAAACACAATACCAGTGTATGTCAACAACAAATTGAAATGAGAGGAATGGGTGGGGAGACAAGGAAGAGAGGGAGAGTCAAAGTGACCAGTGCAGCAAACCCATGAATGAATTATTTCAGTCTTACCTCATTATCAGATTGAATATGCAGTTCACCGATGAACTGGTAGATGGAACCAATTCGGAAGCTAAGGTTTCTCAAGTGTTGAAACCGACACTATCACACAACTGATTACTTGCAACATCCCGAAACCAACGAAGATCATCCATCTGAGCTAACGCTTACTGTGACAGTGCTCGCAGCCACTGTCCCCAAGCCCTGTCAATCACTCCTTCCGGCAAGGAAAATAGCTTTTCACAGTAGGCTTCATTGTGGCCCAGGCATCCACACAAAAAATAGAAAATCGGCAACCTCTCATACTTAAAATTAATAGTTTTCATTGAGCCATCACCATGTCTCACCTTCTTCCACCTCTTCAACGGCTTCCTGTGTTCAAACGAACCCGAATACACATGTATGATCGCCATGACCTATAGTTGTTTAGATCGTACTCTAAGAAAGTTCTGATGAAATCACCAAACTGTTTGCCTACATCCTCAGGCATAACCCCCATTGGCAAATCATAGACTTGAACCCAAAAGGGAGTGAAGAAAAATGGGAGACTCTTTGGATCGTCCCCTCACAAACCTTCTCCAGTGATAGAGTAATAAGTTAAGATAATATTTACAATTTATTTGTATTTAATATTAGCTGTATTTGTAACTGTCACTAAAAGATATACATGTAAATTGCTATATATTGTACCTATCATACAATACAGAATACAAAAAAAGAATTCTCAAACGTGTAAACCTCCAGTACAACTATCAGAATGACAAAAAAAAAAGGAAATTCTCAAACCGTTAATACCTCGCAGATTGGTATCACGAGCTCTAAAGGCCTACAGCGGGCATCGCCTTCTCATCGTTTATCCTTTTCTGTAGATCTTTGTATTCCCTTCTTCATCTATTATTCCAGCAAAAAAAAAAAAAAAAAAAGTATTGGGACAGAGCCAGCTTCTCACCTGCTACTGTTTCTGCGCACCTGCTTCTTCTCTTCTTCTGTCGCAAGCTTCCCAATATTACATCAGTTCATGCTCTGTGAAAATGACCTCAGCTAATTTTTGCTGTGGGAAAATCCCATAAAATTTCTTCCCCTTTTTGTATGGGTATCCGGACCTGTGCTGGTTTATCGATCGGATCTAAGCCTGCAACCTTTTTCAGTCGGCTGCACCTTCTCAGTCGCTTGACAATGGTGAACCCAACTCAGCGTATAATGATTGGTTTTGTCAAGATCAAATAGTCAGAAGCTGGATCAATTGTTCCGTTTCTGAATCCCTCTTAAATCAGATTGTGTGTTGTACTTCTGCCAAGGAGGCGTGGGATAAGCTTGCTACGGTTTATTCAACAGGCTCTCAAACAAGGGATGGAGGCGAGTTGGACGAATAATGGCCTTTTACTCACTCAAAATAAGTACATACAGGACTTACTTGTTAAGGCTGGTATGACTAATTGTAAGGGCCTTTCCACACCAGCCACTACAAAAGAATCGACTACGGATGCACAACAAACTCCCTTTTCCGATCCTACACTCTATCGAAGTATAGTTGGTGGCCTGCAGTATCTAAATCTGACACGACCTGACGTATGTTATTCAGTTCATAAAGTGTCACAATTTCTTCAAGCACCGACCGAGGCTAACTGGTCTTCCGTCAAGCGAATTTTAAGGTACTTGAACCAGAGGCTAACCTGGTCCCTCTCCGTCAAGCGAATTTTTTAAGGGGTACTGCTGCAACGATACTGCGGGCACACGTGGTGGTTTAGTTTTTCACCAATCCTCTGACCAGCCAAACTGTGAAGTTTTATGTTGCTGACGCTGGGATTGGGGCCGAGTCAAGGCTTTAGGGGATGAGTCTGGCCAGAGTCCTAAACACAAGGGTATATGCTATCTTTTAGTGGGGTTTCTTAATCCTGCAATTTTTTCAGTGGAACTCCAAGAAACAGAACAAACTGTGGCAAAAAATCTATCAACAAGAGCTGAATATAGGGCTTATGGCACTTGCCCGGGTTACTGAATTGTCCATGGTCCAAGCTTTGATCGTCCGAGATATGTGGTTTATAGTTTCAAACAGTCACATATCGGACGAAGCAGTGGTGCCGAATTTATGGTGTTGGCAAACATTTGGGGTTTGCCACGTTATTTTTGTTAAGCAATCCTGTATGGTTCATGCCGTACTAAGCATTTAGAGTGGATTTCGTTCTCCATTTTGTCCCGTGACAAAGTTCAGTAAGCCGAGAATTACAGTACAATTATTTGTTCGAAGAAGAATTCACTAGCAGAACAATTCTGACCGAAAACCTCTACCGCTCGAGATTCGACAATATGCCCCCTAATGCACAAGTTTTGAACAATTTCGAAGCTTTCATTCCGCAAGCTCCCCTTGAATTGGAGGGTGGGACCTGATAGAGTAACTAAGTTTAAGATATATTTACATTTATTTGTATTTAATATTAGCCTGTATTGTGTAACTGTCACTAAAAAAGTTAAGATAATATTTACAATTTATTTGTATTTAATATTAGCTGTATTTGTAACTGTCACTAAAAGATATACATGTAAATTGCTATATATTGTACCTATCATACAATACAGAATACAAAAAAAGAATTCTCAAACGTGTAAACCTCCAGATCCAGCACCAAAAGATGATTATTAAAAGACTAGGGCCCCCCATTCCAAACCCTATTTAGACCAACAATGTGAAAAAACTGGAAAAGAAAAACTCGATAGGCAACCTCACTAACATGAATACCCTTGCCAGGTCTCCAAAGATTTGCCATAGAATCCTTCATAGCTTCATAATTAACCTTTTGATTCGTCAATGGCCTCCCAACCAGACAGAGGTCATAATTGGGTTGTTCAGTCAATTGGCTTCTGTATTGCAACTGCATCTTAGCTTCCTCATCATCTGATGGCACAAGACTAGCTATCGTTTCATGCTCACCATAAGCAGCACCATGACTTTAGACGCCATAGATAAAAAAACTCATGCACAAAGTAAGACACCCTCACATGCAAGACAAATATGAAAAAGAAAAAAACCATAACTTGATTTGGCCCTAATACATAAAAGAAAATTTCAAGCTTTATTAAAGGTAAACTGGACATTTTATTACAACTAAATGGAAAAATTTAATTGAAGAACTATTTATTTAAATAGCTACAAAATAAAAACATTATTTAATTATTTTTTTAGAATAGAAGGCATAAAATAATTAATATGAAATTTTGAAAATATCAGCTCACTAACATAGTATATAATTGAGGCACGTGTATAAAAATGCATAAAATGAGAATTGAACCCAACGTTAATCAAACATGCAGCCCTCTAATCTAGAGTCAAACGTGCTACCATTGCGCCACAAATCCATGCATATTAAAGTAAACATTATAAGATTAAAGATTAATTACCACCCTATTTATTTGTAAATTTTTTTCAAATTTAAATAATTTAGAACATTCTAAATATTTTTTTTATGAAAAATTGGGCTTTTTATCCTTTTGGTGCAAATTCAGGAGCAAATTATATAAAAAGTTAATTTTTAGGCAACCTGAACATTACTCCAAGTTCAGGAAATAAATTTACGACTTTAGGAAGTCTAAACTCAACATTAGACAGCCTAAAGTCCTCGAACTATAAATCTCTTAGTTGCAACCATGCTGCCTAAATTGAATTTTAGGAAGCCTAAAAATGAAAAAAAAAAAAAAAAGAAAAAAAATCAATAACTTTTGTTATAAAATTCTGTTTTCAAATCCGTTTGATCCGATGGAAATCATATTCAACCAATTATTCGAAAACATGAATTTTTATGGCAAAACTATTTAAAAATATTCGTTTTCAAAAATATTTTTCCACCCAAATGCAATATTTTTAAAATGTGTTTGTCCAAAGCTGAAATTTTATTTGAAAATAAATTGTCAATTTTAAAATGGTGATCGACTCAAATGATTTTTCAAATTAAAATTGTAAGATCATCAAATATACTTAAGGTGAATTCCTAGAATTGAACCATCAATTAATTAGAGCAATACCTTAAAAGAAGAAATTCTAAGAAACTTATAATTGAATTGTAGGCTTCAAGTAGCTTGTATTTGTAACTTGTATTTGTATTTGTATATTTAAATTGGATTTGTATAATTGAATTATAAGCTGTTGATGTTAATTTTCTTGAATCAACCTGCTAATCAACAAATAGTAATTAAAATTAATTAGCAGAATAACAATTATTTGTTATTATGTAGGTTTTATGTAGTGGGATTGGAAATTTTGTTTTTTTTTTTTAAAAAAAAAAAATTAATTAGCTAGAATACAATTATTTGTTATTATGTAGGTTTTACTGTAGTGGGATTTGGAAATTTTTTTGTTTTTTTTTTAAAAAAAAAAAAAAAAAATTGTTTTCTACTAGAACTCCGAAAATCTTTTTTATTTGTTTTTTTTTCATAAAAAGAGAAAAATTTCAAGATTTAAAATAAATAGGCAACGTTGTATAGAAAATCAGCCCAAAAATTGTGAAAAAATTTTTTTTTTTTTAAAAAAAAAAAAAAATTGTTTTCTACTAGAACTCGAAATCTTTTTTTTTTTTTTCATAAAAAGAGAAAAATTCAAGATAAAATAAATAGCAACGTGTATAGAAACAACCAAAATTTGAAAATCTATGCAAAGTACGAGTTCCAACTGGGAAATGGATATCAAAATAATCCTAGAGAGTCAATTTATCGAGCTAAAATAAAATAATAATAATAATAATAATAATTTGACTAATTTTTAGAAGAAGCAATACGTAAGGTTGACGTTAATACCCTTCTTTGTTATAACAGATGGCCCTGCAGAAGACCCTGAGATGATCAATACCATATTTAAGACAAACAGAATTCTCATATCATAACTCAAAACCCATAATATATGTCTCTTACCAAACATGATCTTGGTCATCATATCTGTAGCGTGGTTGAATTCCTGTTCGGAAAAGGAAGTAGAAAACAAAATGCAAGCCTATACATGTTTTCCAGCTGGACACATTAAACTTAATTAATGTTTCTTATATGTCAAAGTCATGAAATATTAAATTTTGTTTCTTCGATGGTTAATTCACATCTGAGAGAAGGGTGATTGCATTTATTGCGGTATTTAATTATCTTCTACCGTCTCTTCCCTCGCTAACATTTTGA